TTTTTCACCTTCAATTACTGACAGCTGGTAGATTTGTATCATGAGAAAGAATCTAAGATATTTTTTACAAATACTGGAATTTCATTCATTATTTTGCTATTAATCTCCAAAACACAAGCATTGGTATTATTCGGAATTGGTCATTTGTGGTTTAAATGGTCATAGAAAGTGCTTCAGTTTGTCTTTGGTATGTTAATTTTTTTGTAAGCATATAACTGTATTACCAAATTAAGAATTTCAAAAAGCTGTATAAAGATGTTATTTCACTTTTGGATGAACTCAAATTAAGAAATTAAGAAAAATAGAGAAGAAATCAGCAAAATTTGGAACCACAAAATTTTTGTTTTCAATGAATGCACTACAAAACTTTTAACATTTAAGATTCATAAATTCTGTTTATTTTAAAGTTACCCTTTGATCATATGTTCAATATATTGAAACCAATACAGACGCCATATTTGCTGGATGTACAATTTACATGCTTGTGTCATGAAATCCTATCTTATCTATTGTTTAAAGGGGTGGAGTAAAATGAGCTCTAGTTACACTGTTGTAACTGACAAAATACAGTTATTGTTTCTTTTTACTTTACACTTTGACAGTTGGAAAACTTGAATTAGCTATATCTATTTCTCCTCTGTTTGAATTTGTCATTTGAGGAAGATTTTTGATTTGTAACAATTAAATCCTTTTGACTTGGGTGAAATTGATGCTGCATGCATGTAGCTCTTTGATAAGATATTTCCAGTTCTTACAGAGAGAGTTTCATATAATTAATTGAACCTCTTCTAGTCATTCATTTTTGGCGTATACTTAACCTTCTTTTTAGCCTCTGCTCTAAAGAGACAGACTCCTAAACATTTTCATTTTGCAATAACAGAAACACAACTGATAAATATAGATCCCGCGTTCTATGACTGTTATGGTGGTAATAGAATATTCAATGATCTATGATGTATGGTGTGTGTCAAGGTATCAGACAACTATTAACAGATGTTTGTATAAAGTGTAGGGGGTAGTCTGCTAGTTGTTTTGATGTTTAGACATATTTTTAACTATGACATTTATATCTTTACCTTTACATTCTACAGATTTCTGCCATTTCTTAGTTTCATTCATCTTCTCTTACTATCATTCACCTGATCTGATAGACTTAGAATCTTAAACAAGAAACATAATGAATGAATTGAATATCCAACTGTTTACTAAATTAAGTTATAGGCTAAGGAATGAAAATTGGAAATGTCTTGCTAGGACAGTTTTCGATTCCAGTTTGAATTCCATCTTTTGTAGTATCAGTTACTATTTAGAAGCATACCTTTTCAAAATACCTGATATCACTGGAAAAATTTTCAGATAACCTTTTATTTTACAACTTTCATATCATTTATGGCATCATATTGTTTATAGATTGTCATTAGTTCAGATAACTTAAAAGAAATTTTGTTGTCATGGAAATTGGAAATGTTTAAAGTCATTGATTTAAAGGATTATGGATGGGCAGAGCCAGGTTTAGGTTCGAAAGGGGAGAGAAAAATCTGAGATTGCCAAAATTTCTATCCTAGTTTATGAGATTTTTGCCCGAAAAACTTGCTTTCGGGCCTCCCCTCTTTGGCTCTGCCACTGATGGGCATTCTTACTTTAAAGATTTCCAGATCTGTCCACCTAAAATATTTATGTAGAAAATGAATGAAGACAAACAAATAAACAAGTAAGTCAACATAGTGACAAGCCCTTGATCAGCATGGTTATAGTATAGGTAAATACTGGTTGAACATATTAAAACAATCAACTGTAGGAGATCGTGTTATTATTGGCAGAATTCTTTCAATGACGCCAAATTCCTCCTGGAACTCTCTAGAATGAATCGTTTCAGATGTTGAAAATAGCAAATATGTTAAGATATGGACAGAAAAACTTGGTGTGTCACAAAAATCATTCTGTTTGCAACCATACAAAATAGACTCATGTGGAATTGGACTGTTAAACCTGTGATAAAGTCGTTGTTAATATTGTCTGTCAATTATTACTGATAATACATTGTTACTTGTACAAGTGTTGATACACTTTTATTGAATTGCAGAAGTACTAAATGTCATATTTTCATCATGAACGTAATACAAATAACTTTAATTGAGCTCTGTCAGCTGGTTAAGAATGTCTACATGTTTTATTGATGATATTTTAACAAAATATTATTGAACAAGTCTTTTATTTACTTTTTTCTATTCATTCATTCCTGTTCTTTCATTCATTCTTAAGTTCATTCATCCATTCAATCTATCCTGTCTGTATTTTAAATACCAGTGTGTTAACAGATAGACATATGAGTTTATATTTCTTTGACTTTATCAGATAGATCATTATCATATATTTCATCATTTCACACATGTATACTGGCTCAGTGTAAAGATATCAAATGATGGTAAAAATATTCTCTTGGGATCTCATCATATTACAATCTATCAGCTGATCTTTATAATTTAGTTACTGTGACTTGAAAGATTCTATGAGACTTCAATTTGTGGTCTTTGAAAGTGGTGTTCAACCAGAGCATTTAGGTAAAGTAAGCCAAATTCTGCAGCCCTCTATGTGCAATCCATGAATTCAATACCTATATTTGATATTCTAAAGGCATAAAGCCTGTGTCATATCATTTCATTTGTCTGCTGTTCCTTTGCAAATATAACCATAAGGAATAAGCTCTTTGATTTCCAGGTGAAACACCAGTTGATGTAGGTGCTCATTGTTTATATGTGATAATGTTCATGGAAGATTTATATATTTTTTTTCTTGATAACCAACTTGATGCCTTTTAATCCCTTTGTCGTCCCTTTAATGATATCACAGCAACATATTCTACCTACTGAGTTAGAAATCTTACTAACCTTTGGTTTGATGTTATCTGGTGATGATCTAACAGTAAGATAACACCAGAGTTTATTTGTACATTATGTCAGCTCTTGTGGATACAGTGTTAAATGCTAAAGGTGTTACTATGAAGGATAAAGGTGTTACTATGAAGGTTATCTCCCCATGTATCTTATAGTAACACCTTCAGAAATTGTTGAGTTCAGAAACTGAAGAAATCGGCAGAAGCAGAATTTGTGAAAGAGCTTTTGTTGGCATCCTGATCATCTTTAAGAGAGATAGTCAGCGAAATATCTTCTTTAACTGCTTTATTTTAGATACCTGTAACACTTTTTGAAATTGAATTGCATTAGATGGTTCTTCAATAGGATAATGAAAATTTCCTTGAAAGATTAGACTATAATCACTTTCAGGAATTTAAAGGGAGTGACGTCATTAAACACTTAGTTTTAGTGGAATTGCAGGAACAACACAGGTCTGATTGAAAATTAGAATGGTGCAAATTGATCAGTGTCCCCGATACACATAAAAAATAATGAAACCTCCCTTTAATAGCATTATCATTTGCAGATCGATCAGCATATGTTTTTGGTTTTTTGTCAGACTTTTCGAAGTCTGCTTTCGGCTCATGACTGAACCATTATTTA